AAATTCTTGTCTAGTGCGTATCTGATAGACCTTTTCGTCCTGTCCCTTCCCTTTTCTTCTCTTTGTTTTCTCCCTCCCAAACTAATGGTATAAAGATCGAAGGCTCTGAAGAATGGGATTCTTCTGTACTTCAAATTCCTTTCAATTCGCTTCCAAGAACAGGACAGGCGTATAGAAGGAGGGGTTCTGGGGAGTATATGAATGCAGCCCACCTGATAGGTCTAATTTTAGGTTTTGAACTGTGACGCTGAACTTTTCTATAGTTACAGGTAGGAGTTATAAATTTTTGGTTGAGTTTGTGTTTTTTGGTTGGTGTCGTTGTTCCCCCCAAAAAGATCTGTCTAGCAAGGTTTATCCTATAGGAAAATAAAAAGCTTTTCCTAGTGCTGTTTTGAGTTTCAGAATGTATCACTGAAAAATAATTCCACATGGAAGATGGACTACAGATCAAAGTCTGCTGGGTAACATAGTACCTAGAATTTCATACATGTGAGAAATAGAAATTGTCTCTTGGTTTCTAGTCAATCTTGCCAAGTATTTTTGGTTGTAATCCTGTAGGAGAATGAGCATCTTGTTCACAGATGTTAAGCTGAATGTTGCAGAATCAAGTCTGGTTTTGAAGTTCTGATCCTGACTGGAATTTCTGCGTCTTTCCATGGTGTTTTTTTGGTGTTCCATGGTAGTAATATTAGCATAACTCTTAAATTTGCAGATATTCCACTGTATTTCTGTAACTAGTAAATAACTTTACAATTAATGCTTTTCTAAATGTAGAAACTCTAGTTTTGCACCTGCTTGGATAAAAGGATGCAGATTTTGTGCAGCCTCTTGTACTGCTTTAGCAGTGAGTATTTTTTGCGTGTGATGCAATAGATTTCTATTTATGTTGGTGCATAAACAAGAGTTACACTGGTTTAAGTGGCATAATTCACAGCTTCAGCTGAAATGGTAAAATTTTTTGTGATGACAAAACCTCAGAAAGAAAATTTTTCTAAAAGGAAAATGTATGTTATCTTTGAGGTTTTGTTTTTTTTTTTTTTCCTCTGGGTTTCCTGCTAATCTGTCCTGCTAATGGAATGAGCTGGGCATAGGCTTATGATGGTTTTATGTGTATGTATATGTGTGTATATATATATATATATATATAAAAACGCACACACACACTTACAAATATTTTGTTTTGCCAATTCTGCTGTTATCTTTAAAGGTAACCATAAATATGCTTTTGACAAAATGGTTATGTCAGGTGAGGGAAGGATTTTAGTGAAGTACTGCGTTGTTAGAAACCAAAAATGTTTCCATCAACACTCAGTTATAATGGGGAAGTTTTAAAATGTGATTTTAGTCAAATAGCACAACTGTGCTAGCATTCACATAGGATGTGAAGCCTGAAGTTCTTTGTCCTGGTTTTGGCTGGGGTAGAGTTAATTTTCTTCTAGTAGCTGGTGCAGTGCTGTGTTTTAGATTTAGTCTGAAAATAATGTTGATAACACATCGATGTTTTAGTAGCTGATATGTAGTGCTTGCCCTGATCGAGGACTTTTCAGTCTCATGCCCTGCCAATGAGCAGGTGCATGAGAAATCAGGAAGGAGCAGAGATAGGACAGCAGACCTGAACGATCCCAAGGGATATTCCATACCGTAGACCATCATGCTCAGTATAGGAACTGGGGGGAGCTGGCCAGGAGAAATTGTGTTTTGCAACACTTGTCAATCTTGGGTTTTCGTTTTTCTTCCCTCCCCCTTGCCTTTCCATTACAGTTACTATGTTTTATTTCAGTTATTAAACTGTTCTTACCTCAACCCGTAGGTTTTACTTGTTTTCTGATTCTTCTCCCTGTTCCACTGGGGCGAGGGGGGGTGCCCTGTGTGCATGCGAGCAACCAGCTCCATGGTGCTCAGTTGGCAGCTGGGTTAAAGACATTCTTCCTAAGGCTGTTCCTTTTCTTATCCTGATCTGCAACAGGGTGATGTTTGAAAACATGGGAAACATTTTTTGAAACCCAAATGAGTGGCTTCCCACTCCTGTTTTTAAGTCCATTTTTTGACTGTGTACAACAGTGACCTTCTTTTTCCTAACATCTCAGCATCCGGCAACTCCTGTCATCATCATTTATCTACAGGTTTTAGTGATCTAATGTTGTGGTGGGTTTTTTGGTTTTTGTTTGTTTTTATACCAATCAAAATAATGTTTTGTGAGAGCTCTTTACAATATAATGAGCTTAGAGCAATGGACTTTGTTGCTTGCCTCTATTACGTTCTGTTAGAACTTGGCAGCAATTACAGCTGAGGCTTTATTTAACACATCCGCATTTCTAGTGTAGTTAATTTTAAGGGGTTTCCTTATTCGTATTGGATGCTTTGTCAGTCAGTGACAGAGTATGCTGCAGTGGCTGCTTCTCATGGCCTAGCCATTGCGACATAATGTGGTTTTCAGAATTTGTTTTGCTTTTGTTTAACAGGATTTGAAATTTGGACGGTTTTATTAGATATATAAATGCTGTACTTTCCAGTTCTCTTCCATTCTCAAGTAAGTGCTTGTGAATTTGGGAGGCAACATTTTTTCAGCCTAATTTGGATGTGCTGAACCTCAGTTACCTTTCAGTATTAGAAGTTGTCCATGGAATTCTACATTTGGAGTAATTAAAGCAAGTGAAAGCTCCAGTGAAAATTTCCTTCTTGTCCTACATGTTTGGTTGTTGTTGATGACTGGAAAAGGTTTGACAGTTACGAGAATGTATTTTGAAATTAGGTGCTGCCTGTCACTTTTCATGGGTATTTTATGACAGAGTGAAAACCTGTAAGTCAGTTCCTGCCTACACTGAGCCCTGATTTACTTGGAAAAATCACCTAGCAAAAAAAGGAGGCAGCCAAATTTCAAAGTTTTAATGAGTATTGCAAACTTGGCAAATCCAAAGAGTTTTGAGAATTCCAGGACATTTAAAATATTTGTATACGAGTTATTTAAGTTGTGTGCTGAGCACAGGCTTGTAGTTCAGTACTCAGCCTAGTGAAACTCAGTGTATACAATCTGTGTAGCTCCCAACTTTTGTTTGTACAAGACCATACATTTAAACTCCATTTTTTATTCACACTAAATGGTGAATGGGAGTATTCTCTAGTAGCTGCTTGGGCAATGGTTTTGTTTGGTCATTCTGAATGTAGATAGCCTTCTGGCTGACCCTTTGATTCATTTTGGGAAGCATTGTGAAATGCTGGTACTGTGTGGGATGTCCGATGTAGCGGGGATGCGCTTCCTCTGTGAGAAAAGGGATGTGCTGTCTTTGGGATTTATAGAGCTGTTGCAAGAGCTCTGTAAAAAGTGCATTGGCGTAACTTGAAAAGTTAGACTGTGGGCTACACAATGACAAGCAGCAGCCCTGTGACCTGTGGTTTACAGAGCCAAATCTCAGTTTTGATCTGCCCTGGCTTCCTGAGCTGAATTAATTTTACATCATCATGCCTTGATAAGTGTCAGTGTGGCTTTAGGTGTGCACATGGTCAGTTTATGGTGGCATCTTGGCCATAGCAACACAAGTAAAACTTCACATGAGGATAGTGTATGGGTGTCCCTGTACAAGAAGGAAGATTTTTGGGTTTATTTCTGTCTCATTAGCATGGCTTCGTTTCATGCAGTAATTCCACATTGGCTCGATAGTGTAAAACGTGCATAACTGCAAAACCTTTAAGGACTTACACGAGGACAATATGAATGAAGTCCTGCAAAACTTTATTTTAAAAGTGTTTTCTAAGTGCACATTCTTCTGTTTCTTTGGTCGGGTTGCAGTTCTTTCCAGTTGTCCCCCTAATAATTGGGATCAGGAGCTTTTTTTTAACTCTGACTTTGTTGAGGGACTCATGCTGTAGGTGGTTGTTTTTACTTGTTTGTAAAGGCTGCTTGTGGGTAAAAACTTGCTGGATCATCCACACCTTAGCCTTGAATACTGCCCTTCTGTAGTAGAGTGTATATAGTTGGTGTCTCCCAACTGCAGCCTGGGGTGAATTCTGTTCCTAGGGTGCGAAGGTGGTATGTGGTAAGAAGAGCACATTTCATTTAGGAACAGCTGTCAGTCTCACCTGAAAGCAGCGCTCTGACAGCATGTGGAAACTGATCCTTTTGCTCTTCAAAATGGTCCTGTTGGTGACTAGATCTCTTTAGAGATGCTGTTGTGGACGAGCATTTTTCTTCTGTTAAAAAAAAGGAGCGCTCTTCATTGTCTTACATCATCCATCTTCTTTGACAGCAAGCTTCAAAATTAAATTACCTTCTAGTACTGTGGAGCGAGGAGGTGGTCTTTTGTTTGTATGAATTACATTGAAATTAGCAAAATAGTTGCATTGTTGTCCTAATCTTTAAAATGTGCACAAATTCCATAAATGCATAATAAATTTGTAGAGGTTAATGAATAGTGTAAATGATTTTTTTAAAAGCTTAGATATTGAGGAATTATTTATTTTAATTTGCATAGAGGAAGTGAATCTAAAATGTTTTAAGAACTCTTTAGTTAGTGGTTATTTCATTTGAGAGGCATAGTGTTAAGCTAAGTAGAGGTAGTGTCTGAATTTTGTAGGTGTTTGCTTTCTAAAGCTTATCAGGTATTTGCTTTTTAAAGCTTATTGTGTTAATGTTTATGTAACACCTAATGCATTGGTGTCTTTTGGCTGGGGTTTTGAATACAAAATTATCGCAAATATGAATGAAGGTTTATTCAGTGCACACCCTTTGACCGTTTTAATGAAGTTAACCTCCCCCCATGTTACAGTATTACCATGGAAAAATTGCTAGCAAATTGACCTTTATATAGCAAAAATAGAAGTTGTCCTGTCTGGATTTGAATTTAACTCAGTTGATTCATTCAGTCATTTGTGACCACACAGGAAGCCCCATTCATATGATCACAAAGCCTAATAGCTGTTTGTACAGTGAGATTGATCTGATTACTCTTCTCTGTCTTGTGTGCTATTTACAGTCTGCTGCCAGTTCACAGAAAGGGAAGAGAATGGCTGCAAAGGAGAAGTTGGAGGCAGTGTTAAATGTGGCCCTGAGGGTCCCAAGCATCATGCTGTTGGATGTCTTGTACAGATGGGATGTCAGCTCATTCTTCCAGCAGATCCAAAGAAGTAGCCTGCACAACAACCCTCTCTTCCAGTACAAGTACTTGGCCCTTAATATGCATTACGTGGGTAAGTGTACATGTGTTTGAGAGAAAACACTGCTGTAGTAAATACCAGTTTGCTTACTACAAGAATTTTAAGAACTTAGTAGTAGCATGATAATATATTGATTGCAACAAATAGCATGAGGATATATTCATTACAATTCTGCTTGAGTCTGTTTATATTAGCAATAAAAATCCTGTCTAAGGTCTTTTACTGAACTTTGATGTTTAGTCTTGATAGTGTAATAGGTCTGGAAACAGGATCTGTGCCCTGAAAGAATAGCACAGTGACTTTGGCCTGTGCCTGATGAGAAGGCTGCTGTGAAATGCTGTGCAGGCAAGAAGTATTGTAACTTATATCACTGTCATCAAACAAGAGATTAGGGAAAAGGTTGCCTAGTTTGGACTGTGATCACAGCAGCAGAAGGTTAGCTTTCACTGCTGCACAGATATGGCTCTTCAGTTTAGAACCATATGAAATGTATATATGCTGGGAATGGATTAGAGCAGGTAACAAGTCCTATGTTGTAGATAAATGGACAAAATTACTAGCTCAGCTCAGAGAGCTGAGGTTTGCACTTTGGCCTGCAAGTCTAGCTCTGGAATGCTAGACGTCTCATTTTAGGAGATGAAAAGGTTGATGTTCTGGGACCTGCTTGCCAGGTGGGTATGTGATTCATCTGCACATGGGGTTAGTTAGGGATTGGATCCAGGCTGTTGAGGTTGTTAGCCACTGACATCTGCCTGAGTACTGCCTAGCTTGGAGAGAAATGGTTAGCATATAATTATCCCACTCTGCGGTGTTTCTTGTAGATGGCTTTGGAGGATAAAGATGTACTGCAGTCAGCTAAAGAAAACACCCTTAAGTAGTTGGAGGACTGTGTTTTTTGAAGTAGCATGTCCAGGTTTTTAATCCTGACTTCCTAAGTGTTGGCATGTGACTCTCTATTCTGGAAATCATTTACTGCCATTAAAAACACATGGGACTTCCTTTGTTATGGCTCCACTTCCTCATGCTGGAATAGAAATGTACTTTTGGAGCAGAAAGCTGGTTACAGTTCTATGCCCTTTTCATATTTTGTGGAGAGAGTACTTCTGTGTTGCTGGCGAATGTGACACAGGACCATGGTGGTGCATAACTGCAGCTGCTTTTCTCATGTGCTTGTATGCACCTAAGTACCTTCTAGAAATCAGTTTATCAGCTCAGTTTCTAATGCGGAGCTAACAGTTGTGCAGTAGGTTGTCAAGATGTCAGTGGGTAATTTCTAGCTGTGTCAGAGCCCCTCTTTATAGCCATTTGGCAACCTTGTTCTCCCTTAATTACATTGAGATATCGACCCTCTCTGTAGCACTTTTGATGGGTGTATTGTTAATAAAGCATTTCTCACCTGGATGCTCTTTTAGTGCGAAACCAGTGGATTCTGACTTTGTGCTCCTCATATAAATGGTGCTTTCGTGCTGGTACACAATCACTCAACAGTCGGTTTACTTTTTGCTTTTACAATACTGGTTGTCTGTACTTTTACTGCTTCAACTGATCAAGAAGGGCTTCTAAGTCATCAAAAAAGTTGTTTGTTTTAAAATATTTTCAGACAGTTTTCAGTGACAAAACTTTGCTAGTGTTTTTCAAATGAAGTTGATTCATTACAGTTCCCTGGGTGTTGAGGTGATTTTAAGCTGCGTCAGTGTGAGGCTGGCCTAAATCGATTTGCATGCCTACACAAGATTTTATATAGATTTAATTGCATCAGGTTACAGTATAATCTTAATTAAAAGGACATCAAAATATATAAATTTGATTTGTAAGGAAAACAAAGTACTTTTCCACCAGTTTGGGAAATCAAGCTTCTTCAAAGATATACTGAGGGAAATTAACTGCCAGTATGTAATTTAAATAGAAATTTACCATGGATATGTTTCAACATGCTAATCTCTTTTATTTAGGAGAAAAAAATGTCCTGTTCATATTTGCAGTTACATAACACAGTATCAGCAAGTGCCCTTTGAAATATCAAGCAATCATTGAATTTCTTATATAGGCAGTGTAAGATACCATATCATAGAAGGGCTTCTAGCACCTTAGGAAATTGGGTGCATCTATCTTGGGCAGATGCTGAAGGAACAATTTGATTAGAGAACCATAAAAATCAATAAATCCTACCAAGCTGGATATAGTGAACCCTTTCCTGGGACTAAGGATACAAAGTTGGAAATTTGCTCAGCACTGGGGGTTACCAGGGATATCTTTTCTGTTTAAATGCACTTGTTTTCTTCCATCCATTTGACTTAAAGTTTGGAAAGCCAATTGTTTTTGTCAAGCGAGGTCATGTACGTTACAGTGTGATTCACATTCCAGCCAGCAGTACTGGGAATATAATAAAAGCCTCTAGGATGCAATTTGTCCTTTGATACAGCTTTTCCCTTTCATATCTTTTCATGAAACAGCCCTTATCTACTTCAGTGAGGGAAACTATTGAGTGCTGATAACCACTCAGCCGCAGGTTCAACTGCATGAAATTTAACTTAATATGTATAAAACAAAGCAAATAGCAGAGAGATATTTCTGGTTAGAATTGGCAAATATAAACAGATTAATCTCATATAGGAAAAATTGCAAAGTAACGTTGTTTATGAACTTCATCTGCCAAAGGGCACTGTGGTTACTGTTCAGGCAGGTGTAAAAGGGCTGTGAATGGCCTGCAATGGTCTTCAATGTGCACTTAAGCTCTCTTGTGTAATGTTTGTATTGCGTTGCTTTATTTCATAATACTGTTTTTCTACATATGAGTTATCTTCCAGAATCACAATTAAAACTCTGTTTTGCTTTTGAAAACCTGCCTCAGTTTGCCAACTGTGTTTAAAAAGACAAACATCAAACTTAGTTAAGCAACAGTTCAGAAATGTTTCTGGCTGAAAAGTTTTCGTTTGTGTGCCGAAATTCATACTTAATGGTCACAGGATTACCTCAGGCTTAAAACTTCACTGATCATTCCCAGTATCTTTCTGGAAGTACTTTTGATACGTTTTACAGGACATTTGCTGGATAATTTATAAAACTTAATTTAAAATTACTAGAGATGCTTCAGATGAAAAGTTGACCTCTCTACTTGATTTTTTTGCTTGTTCGTAGTATCTGCTGGATATCTGTAAAAAGAGACAAAAATAGGATAAAATGGGGTTGCAACCCAAATTCAGGTGCATGTACTAGTGACATTCAACCAGAAATTATATATAAAAAATGGTAACAATTCTTTTCTTCTGAAAAAGTCACTTGGAAGGTTTTGTTCTGTAATCTGGCTCTTTCATGTTTAAATACATTAAAATATGGATACATGCATACACATTACTTTTTAAGAGTATTGAGAAATCCTGAATTATAAGCCTTATTCACAAATGTGACCTGTGAATGAAAGTGTATTCTGTAGTTCTTCCTGGAGTGTTTAGGAGTATCTTGTCCTGAGATAGTAGCACTTGGAATATTTGGGAAAGAG